GGTGTAGTTGAGGGTACAATGAGCTCTAGAATACTGTTATTCAAAGCACTTGGCACAACAACAATTGATGTAGTTACAATCGGAGGAAAATGATTGAGGTCACGCTCCACAAGTTGGGCCCAGTTTGGGAAAGCTCTTCGGATAAAGTCACTGTTGGAGCGATACACAAGTGCACAAGGACGCTCAGCCACTGTAGTTTGTTTAACCCAAGATTTTAAATTCCAGATGAGCCTTACAGATTTTACATTTTCTACTAGCGATTGGTTAACAAGTAGCAACAGTTGTGAGGGATCTTGACTCCAAGATTCCACTTTTTCTTTCCATGAAATGAAGATAATCACAGGGGTCCTGTACTGACGTCATATCGCTGTGTGCGCATTAGAGTGCAGATACATATTTCAGTTTTTGTACATATTAAACAGGTATCTGGTGTGTATGTACACAATAACAACATTAAGTCAGCGTGTAACTATCTATTAGTAGCAGATAAACCTAACATGGCAATATGCCTAAATCATACATGCATCACAGTAACAATTGTACTGGAGACATTCCCATAAGGAATAATCTATTGACAAAAACAGGACATTTGACTTGCTGTTGGATGAGTAGGAGGTGACCGATCAGGTGTGATCTGCGAGTGCCGGTTTCGTCGTTGGGATCATTGCTCCTTATGAGCTTAGTGGAGCTTTGTAGAGTTTTCCAAAAAAGGAAATTAAAGACAGGCATTCTGTGCTCTGAATAGCTGCTGTCAGATCGCTCACTCTGCAGCGTACAGTCTAACCCACTATGCCCCTCACTCCCCTTTGTGGTTTCCCTTCATTCCTCTCCTTTCACTTTCGGCTCAGCCAGCTCGTGCCCAGTCTGTGACTGTGGCTCTCTGAATCCTCCAGGAGCTGATGATCCCTCCTCACTTACACATTCCTGCTCGTATTGTTTCTACTTTTCTTGTTCACCTCCTTTACACTCTTTTACAACCTGATGTTACAGATGTATCAATGACAAAGAATTTCAGTACAGAAATGCCAAAGTAGGTTTGAAGTAATGTAGAAAAAGTCAATCACGTAGCTTGTCCAACACAGGGCACCCACAAGTTGATTTTCCAACTGTAAAATGTTGTATTCCGTATGTATCTTGGTCAATCCAAATCAAGTGTATTGTTTATTTCGTTTTAGCTATCTTATTTTCTCTCTCTCTCCCTCTCCCTCCCTCCCTCCACAGAGTCTTGGTCTTTGAGGACAAAGCCAATGGCGCTGCCTGCAAACCAGGCGGACCCCCTCCAAAGCGGGACATTTCTAGCCTGCCTTAAGCGTAGCTGTCGGCCTCCGGACTGCTGCTGGAGCAGAGGGACCATCGTTGGTTGCGTGGAATCGAATCGTTCTCTTAACATGTGGAGTGTTGTGTTAGTGTGGGGCCAGTGATTTGGTGATTTGAGGATGTTATTTTGTGATATATATGATGGTGTGTGCGAGCTGTTTGTCATTTGGAAGTCTGAGCCCACAACCCACTAAATGATGTTTGACTGGGAATATTATCATTCATCTTTTTGTTCCCCTTTAATTGAAATGTAGCATTAGTAGTTGTACTCGTGATCTGGTTGATAAAATGACCTTTTTGTTGTAAGTGTTTCATGGATATATTTGAAGGGAAGACTCCAGACTCCAGAGGTTGCTTTTCCTTCCTTGTTTCTTTTTTTTTTTGGGAAGCATTTTGGCGACGTGAGAGTAGGATGCTTTTGGAGAAGCACAAGGAAAAGAAGCAGCTTTCCCGACACATTTTTGCACTGTCTTCCGTGGTCTTGGATGAATTCCTGTCGGGACTGATCTTAGTCAGCGTGTCACTTTAGATCAGGTGCCAGAGATTACAGGCCCAGCTTCCTTTTTGGGTCAAAGTCATCCGCCCTCGCAGCTGAAACACTGATCTGGAATCAGTAACTAGGTAATCCTGGCCACTTTGGTGATCTAATAATATTTTTGTAGATGACTGTACTGCTATGCGTTTTTAATATTCCTCTCTCGGCTAGTGTGAGTGAATAAGAGATCATGTTGAGCATGGGACGTTCAGTTTCAGTATGTGGCATGAACCGCAAACCTGACTCCGTTTTTTTTTTTTTTTTTTTTTTTTTTTTTTTTTTTTTTTTTTTTTTTTAGATCTGTAAGGTTTAAGCACATGTTCTTTTTGGAGGGAGTGTGATTTTAACAGGCACACAAGTGTAACAAATGTACATAATATGCTCCACACAGTACAATCATATTCTTTCCAAGTGCCTCAACATGCAGATGCTGTAGAGCTTCAACACACCGCTTGAAAAAGGAGAGTGCACATGCGTGTTCACTTCCAGCAGTCCTCTTGGTTTACTAATTCCAGGAAAAAAGAAAACATGAAATGTTCTTTGTTGAGACAGTTTTGATGTTTGTTGAATTGTATTGATATGGTGTTTCCACAAGATTCTGAGTGAGTGAAATTCTCAAGTGTTGAATTTTTTTTAATGTAATTTTTTTTTTCCCTTTTATTAACATTATCATTTGTTTGTCGCAGCAAGCGTTTAACCAGTTTGTGAAGTGATTTGACTGCTTAGGTTACCTTATACTTCACACGTGTGTCATTAGTTTCCTCCCAGCTTTCCTTCATCAGCTAACCCTCTCTCCCTCTCTGTTGATCTGCGTTCATTGTCCTGTGAATTCTGTTATTTGTGCCTCAGTGTTGCTGTAACTCACGCTACTTACTGTGAATTTGGTACTTGTAGTATTTTTGATCCACCTAACGTGTTTTTTAAACTATTAATTTGTTTTCAGTCTGATAGGTGTATTACATCTTTTAATGTTGTTGAGATACACATTGTTTGCAGACACCAAAGGAATTAAAATTATTCTTACACTGGCCTGTTTTGAATTGTTCATTGCTGTAATGGAGATCTCTTTCAACCTCTTCAACTCATTTTTACTTTGTGTGAAAAACAAGTCTAGATACAAGAATAGTGTTTTGTTTTTTTATTTCACGAGTAAACTTACTAGTAAAGTTACTTTACTGTAGCCTCTTCTCTGCTCATGAAAGGTGGGTGGCCTTCCATCAATCTTAAAGAGTCCATGTGTTGTTAAAGGGCACATTGCAACACGTGTTTGGCTATCGGTGCTGATAAATGTAAAGGTAAAACCTGGGCATTGTCAGTTATGTTTTTGGGTAAATCTCCTTATTTTTCATGATTATCTCCCAGTTTACTCTCAGGAAGAGAGAAATCGTGTGTGAATCTTTGGCTGACAACAGTTTGCGTGTTGTAATAATGCTTTCATTCCATATTCTTTCCTCGCTCACTTTTCATGTTGCTCCATGTACGTGCAGCTGCATCCCGAGCAATAACATGTTTTTAATAAAAGGTCAATAGCTGCTACTCTAGCGCACACAGTCACGTGTTTGGTTATGTTTAATCGTCTGTATGTAAAGGCCATCTATCTTCCATGTCATTGGGAGAGCAGGTGTGTGGGTGGGGAATAGTTTATGCATACTTTAAAAAGCATGTTAACAGGTGGATTCAGCAGGATTGTTAGAAGCACCTCTATAATTAAAAAGATTGACATCTTCTGCTGTATCCAGGCTTCTCAGTTGTTCCTTACCATTTCACTCCCTTCCCCCTCTAGTTTCATCTCTGTCCTCAGTCAGTCTGCTTCAGGCATGTGTTCAGCAGATTTAGCATATGCACAATTATTGATGGTAATTAATGGTCCACGGCTGACATTGAAATAATGATGCATCACTGACACCCTCCTCAGGATCTCCTCTCGTGCATAGAGGCTGCCATCTACTGGTCAATCTAAGTCATGACATGAGTGAGATGTTTGGTGATGGACTGCTCATTGAACTGGAGGTTTAACTGACTCACACCCAAACACTTTTGTTTGTACTTTTCAAAAGAAAATTAGACTATACATTCTCAGTTTTTACACAAGACTTGCAAATAAGAATTGCTTAAAACATATTTGAAAAACTGCATCTGCCAGACATCCTAATAGTCTTAAAATTAGTATTTATAGATATACGTGTGTGTGTGTGTGTGTGTGTGTGTGTGTGTATTAGCTCACCTCTCATTCTACAAGAGATTAACTAATATTAATTAATTTATCTAAAACACGACCTGTAATCATCACTCAAATTGTCCATATTTTGGTGACATCACAGGACTTGTGTTTATTATGAAGAGTTGTTAAAGTGGAGGTGTCTTTTTTCTGGATAAGTTGCTACAATGTCTTGATAGACACATGAACGGTAACACCCCCTTTAACTCGGACCTACTTTGTCAAACTAATACTTTACAATGATACGTAGCAGAGCCCATACAGTCACTTTAGATAAATGTCAAAGAGCACCTCTTCTCATCTTGAGCTGCTCATCCTCTCATTCACAACAAGAGCTGACCAGAACCTCGATTGACAAATTGCGCCTGTAGGATTGACAAGTTACCACAAGATGTCGCCACTGAGAAGACTTTGGGTGATATCGCATCTGTAGGTTTCTGATCAGAGCTGTGAAACACATTTATGGACAGACATTTACTGGCCCTCACTTCTCAAATTCCCAGCCTGATAAATAAGAACAGGAAGAGAACTAACCACACCTGACTGTATGCACTGCACTGTACTGTATTGATGTTGATGGGAGTCCTAAAAGTCCTAAAATAAGGACAGTATGAATAGAGCTTTAATCAAATCTGTATTCTTTTATCTCAAAACCTATATAGAGAGCCCAGCACACACACAAACGTAGACCAAGTGTCACTGACAAGGACTTTTGGTACTAACTGTAAATTCCTACCAGACCTCTCTGGGGAGTCATAGTAACTCTTTACCAGGCCGTGCTTTCTTTGATAATCACTGACTGACAGAGTGAAACCTGTATTTGTTTGTGAAAAAAATAAAGATATTTGCACTTATTTGGGATGTCCTTTTTAAGTGCATTACTGTCTGCTGGGCTTCACTGTGCTTTGTGTGTGATTGTGTGATTTGGGATGCTTTGATGGTGTTTGGTCATGCATCACTGTCACTAAGCAGTTCTTCACATCCCGACAAGCTCATTGTTATTCTCAAGGCGTCTCATTCTCAGCCGTCATGAAATACAGTATAAATGGCTCCGTCCAAACTCAAGAGCTATCAATGAGACTACACAGCAATGCCCAGCTGCCTTTGACTTCACAACTCACAAGAAGATCAACCCAGACCAGCACTGAACAAAAACAGCACTAAATAGTAATTTTGTTTCAGTGTTTTATTTCCATCTAATAACTCCCATGAATAATAAAGTGGTGGTATTCTCAGTCTCTGGAGGAAGGTGAGTGTCCTCACTTCTCTTAATCCAACTAAATGTTTGCCTTTCCAGCCCTTGAATAGTTTACTATAATAGAGTTGAATAGTTTAATATGACCAAATGTATCTCCAATTGATAAATATGAGCACATCTAATAGCGGTCTCTATTACATTCAGGGTACAACCAAGGATTCATATATTTCAGGAAGTTTTGCAAACAAGATTTTTGCAACTTGGTAAAGCTTGGGTGTGACCACATTTTCACCAAATTCCATGTAAATTATTATTAAATCAAATGTTGGTTGATATGTGTCACTCCCTGTCTAGGTCTATAACTACCATGGTATTTTAGTTATAATCTAATTTTGTATATCCTGTCTTAGACAAAGGGTCATGCATATCAGTCAGACACACATAAAAACTATTGCCCATATATAGCTCTACAGGGCTGAGTTGATTCAAAGTTCCAAAAGTGCAGTTTAGCTTTCTCTGTAAATAATTAATGTTACATTTTGATGCATCCGTTCATAATTGCTACTGAGATTCTGTTCCATCTATTTCGTCACCATGTCTTACTTTTCTTTCTTATTTATCAACGCATGTATGTCTAGTGTACATTTCCTCTCTGCCTCTTGATTTCAAAATAACCACCAATATGTTTTCCAGCACAAAAAAACAACTTCAATCCATGTAAAGTGAATAACACCCAGGTTTAGGAGATCGTGGGGGACCTTGAAGGCAACATTCTACGTCGCCTACGCTTCTAACGACTCGCGCAAGAGCCGGGGCTCCGCCCACCCTCCGCGCGGAGCAGAGGCGTTTGAGTAGAGACGCACACAGCGGAGTTCGGTCCATCTCTGCTCGCAGCTAGCTAACCCCGCAGCAAGGCCACTGCGGGAAGATGGCGACGGAAAAACTGAAAAATGAAGGAAGAGTGAAAATTGGACATTACATTCTCGGAGATACACTCGGTGTGGGGACGTTTGGAAAAGTTAAAGGTATGTCCGACTGTGTTTTACGTCTGTTGCATCCTGCCAACTGAAAGATGGTGGCAATGGGAGCTTCTAGCTTAGCATGCTAAGTTAGCATGCTATGAAAGCTAACTTGTCGCAACGCCAGGAAAGGTAGCCCACTTGTCCTCATGTCCTGCTAGTTAGGTTAGCTCAACTTGTTTTCTGACAGACATGATGTTTTTTTCGGAATGTAGCCGCAGATGCCAACGACTGCCACACAATGCAAGTTATACGACATTAGCTTCTGTTGAGCCACATCTATTTCAGGTAGTGGCCGGTTGCGTTTTGGAGCTAGCTAAGTTAGCCCGAAAGCCACAAGTCGCTTGTCAAGACAGACTCCGGGAAGTAGACCCGTCTTGGTGTTGCTAGCCATGGCGCTAGATGGGTAGATATTAACGAAGAGCATTTAGCTATCCCCGATTCGTGTCGTTTCCTCTACTCTCTTTTTAAAACAACACGATGCAGGAATGTTCTGCAGCTCGGGGGTCTTCAACTCTGCCCTTCTTATGAGTTGCGTTTGCCATTCTGTGGAAGAGACCGCTATTAGATGTGTGTGGGGAGGGACCCAATCTAGTCCGTGTTGTCAATCTAGAGGGCTGCACGATTAGTATGTCAATAAATAGCTTTGCTTGTATCAACACCTATTGGTCTAATGATTTTCGACAACGCCCCCTGTGTATTTCTTCATATTCTCCTCTCAGCTCTGCCGTTGTTATCGACCTCTTCTATAGACTGTCCGTTTTACCATGCAGTGCAGTTTGAACTCATGATTGAGCCCAAATAAAGTGAGCCCATCAGACACACTCCAAAAAAAAAACCCAGTCAGAACAGCAACATGCTTTATTTGCAGACCGTTCCCAGTGAGTCACCTCTGCACTTTTTGTGGTCGACCACACTCTTTTGCTCTGTGCTGATTACTGGAGGCTTGGTTCATAGTTCACCACCACAACTGGTAAATCAATAGCAGCTGTTTACTAAATTCCCCCTCCTCGTTTTCATTCAATGGTAACTCGTTCAAATATTTGTTCTCTTCCCACTGTTGCATATCGCTGTTTTCATATGAAAATTATTTTCACTTCAACTAAAGGATTACATGTTTGGGTTGAGATTACATTTATTTTGAGCTTGTCAAGGTATTGGCTAAACCACGTCTTAAAATGTGTTAATTGTTCTTGGTCTTCAGACTGTTGTGGTTACAGACATATCGGGCTAGATATGTCAGTGTTTTGGAGATGCACTTTTAGCTTTTACCATCACTTAATGCTGTTCAGAATTTTGGGAATGCCTGCCTCAAAAACTTGATACGTTACAGTCAGGTAATACTATGTGTTTTTTAATTGTCTTTCATGCTTTTAGGTTGTAGAAAGTTCTCTTTACAAATAGGCTAAATGTTGTTTTGGATGAAGGGTTTGCCGAAAAGGTCCTTTGTTGTTCATGGAGAACAAAACGCTGTACAATGGTTCAAACAGACTGACAATTAAAAAAATGGCAGAAGGATACATAGATCCCTCCGAGCAACAGTGAGAATAAAATAAATAATAATAAGATAAATAACAAAATTAATTGGAAGCTTAGCATCAAAATCTGTGCAGATTTAAATAGGAACAAGTTTCTGTTTCAGTTTTAAGTGCACAATAATGCCTTTAACAAGCTGGAATATTAACTAATAATATTACTACTAATAATATTAATTAAGGTGTGTTGCTAAAGCAAAGCTATTCTTGAGACATCACAATATAAATAGGTTAGTCTAGGGTTGGCACTATCTAAATTGCATCACAGAATGTCAGTTAAATGTATAATGGACTGACAAATCAAAGTTTAAACCTAGTCAGTCTCCTCGTTGGGTAGACTTCAGAAAGCTCAAAGAAAAATGGCTGCACAGAATATTTAGAGCCCAATTGCAAGCACCGTTGTGATTCAGCAGTGATCTCCGGTCACTAATGCAAATACAAATACCCATCGATTTTGAATTTGTTATTTGGGGCAAAAATGGCCAAATTTATTTCAATCATAAATAATACATTTGGTGTCTGAATCGGTTACTCCAACCTTTCGAACATCAGTGTATGTCCTGTGTTGTAATTGGTATTGCTCATGTCCGCTCATCTTGATTTACCCTGCAGTTGGCCAACATGAGCTGACCAAGCACCAAGTGGCCGTGAAGATCTTGAACAGGCAGAAGATCCGCAGTTTGGACGTGGTGGGAAAGATCCGCAGGGAGATCCAGAACCTCAAGCTTTTCAGGCATCCTCACATAATTAAACTGTAAGTCCTAGATTACACCCTGCTCGCTGCTCCATAATCCCCCTGCCGCCACAATAATGCCACCCACTGAGCTATTTCCAGGCTTTAATGGTGTGTTTCAGAATACTTCCATGTGGGGGTATCTGTCTGACCCAGTCTCCTCCCCTCTCAGTCCCTGGCTCACTCTGCTTTATTGCCTGATTTCCTCTCTGTTGCCCTTTCATTTTAATACGTAAAAGTGCTTTATCACCATCTTTCATCATGCCTTGCTGTGTGATCGCCTCTCCTTCAGTTTCGTATTCAATAATAGTGAATACGAAACTGAAGGACTGGGGGGGGGTGTATACAACAATTATAATACAACAGGGTAGAATTGTCACATCCTATCCAAAAGATATTTCCTGTCCTGTTTCAAATAGCTAATGGCACAAGTGTTGGTGCAGACCGATACATGACGGCATCATTTTGAATGAGTCATTGTTTAACTTCACATGTCTGAACGCTCAGTACTTTGTTAGTGCTTAAATGCACATTTGCGTCAAGCAGTGCTGTAAACCACTACAAGCCCGAAGTAAACACTAATTTTGGCAACACAAGAATGCTGTGGTGGTGCTGCTGAAACTGTCACTGATCAAAAAATAAAGATACTTCCTACCTTGTATCTAAATGTTCACAGGAAGCAACTAGTGCTCAAGGCCACAGTTACAGGGTCATTAAAGTCATGAGGTGTGGCTAATTGCATGAAATACCAGCTTCATGTCATGCATGCACAAGAATGTAAACTTTTTTTGTGTGTGTGTTGAGGAAAGAGATCTTTGACTGGGCGCACAAACACTGGGGCGGAGTGCACAACATTGCTCATCTATTGACAAGTGAAGCAATACAATACAACACACCTTCATTTGGTTTACAGGAGGTTTGTAGCAATCGTGACAAATGAGCTGAGCGGTTGCTATCTGCAATGCTTTTGAGTGTGAGACTGTTTCCTTGCAGAGTAGATTAAACCACAGATGTGCTGTGTCATAGATGAATGGAATTGTGATATTTTTATTTAACATGTAGGCAAATATATACAAATATGCTGTTCTTGCTTGGAACAAGCATCTATTGTTTGATAGCTAGACTCACTGACAAAGTGTGCTTTCACACCTGTAGTTTATTTAATTTGCTCCAAGCATGAGGTGTGTTTCAGTGCAGCATCTCAGGTTCATAAAGTGTGGCACAGCGTGCCTTAACTAAATGGGTTGTTTTTCTAGCAGCAAGGCATAAAACTCCAAGATGTTATGATTTAGTCACATTCTTGCTGGAAATGGAGCATAACATGTTATGTTTCTACAACATTCCACAGTTGGATACAAAATCCACGAGATTTAATAGCGTGCTTTCCTATTTCTTATTCCTACAAATGATGAAATAATAACTCATAACTGTGTATTTGAGCGGCGTTATATCTCCTAATTGTTGATGATCCGTATGATTTCCACTTTGTGTTGATGTCTGCAGGTATCAGGTTATTAGCACCCCTACAGATATCTTTATGGTGATGGAGTATGTCTCAGGAGGCGAGCTATTCGACTATATCTGCAAAAATGGAAAGGTAATACACTATGATACTGGGAAATACATTTTCCTTCACTCTTTTCATCTTGTCATATGTAGCAGATTTTGCATATTCTGTTTCCAGTGAGGGGACCAGCACATTGTGTACTTCTCTGTGTTCATAGCCAGCCTTTGGTGCAGATACAGCAACCTGTGAACCAGAAACTGTGGCTTGAAAAGATAACATAACACCACACCAAGTGCTGCTTAGTCAGCTGAGATGTGCTAATTCACAGAGCGAGAGTCACAGAGAAGATCACACCTCATGGATGATTTCTGCTTTGACAGTTGGATGAAAAGGAGAGTCGTCGGCTGTTCCAGCAGATTATTTCAGCGGTAGACTACTGCCACAGACACATGGTGGTGCACCGAGACCTCAAGCCTGAAAATGTGCTGCTTGATGCACACATGAATGCCAAGATTGCAGACTTCGGTAAGCGTGTCAAGTCCTAAACCCAGGTCTTCACAGGTGACAGTGTTTGTTCAAATTATGGACACAATGATACAGAACTTGGTTCAGTAACTCTAAATTGAATGTAGAGTCCATGTGGCATTTTTGACTATTAATAGGACTATCGAGCAATGTCCCTGTGTTTTTAGTGTTATATTACATGTAGGGATGCACCAATCATATTTGCCGAATAGCTATCGGAGCTTATACTGACCGTATTTTACCCGTGTAACATGTTGTGCAGGATTATCAAACATGATGTCAGACGGAGAGTTCCTACGAACGAGCTGTGGTTCTCCAAACTATGCTGCTCCTGAGGTCATCTCAGGAAGGTAATGTTTGCCGCCATTAGATGTTGACACTGACTGAATAAACAAAACCCAGTAAGGTGTGGCGTTCATGATTACGGGATTGTTTCCTTTTTTTACCTCATCCTCAGGCTATATGCTGGTCCAGAGGTAGACATCTGGAGCAGTGGGGTCATTCTCTATGCCTTGTTGTGTGGGACGCTTCCCTTTGATGATGACCACGTGCCAACACTCTTTAAGAAGATCTGCGACGGAATCTTTTTCACCCCGCAGTATCTGAACCCTTCGGTAATAAGCCTCCTTAAACACATGCTGCAGGTGGACCCCATGAAAAGAGCCACCATCAAAGAGATCCGGTGAGCCCGACGAGATTAATTACAAAGTCAAACTATTGCTATAGCGTTGCGTTCATGGTCTGTGGTTTGTTTGACTAAATAATGTCTCCTCCTGCAGAGAGGATGAGTGGTTCAAACAGGGCCTACCAAAGTACTTGTTTCCTGAGGACCCCTCCTACAGCAACAACATGATTGACGACGAGGCCCTCAAAGAGGTATGTGAGAAGTTTGAGTGCGCAGAGGAGGAGGTCCTGACCTGCATATACAGTCGCAACCACCAGGATCCATTGGCCGTCGCCTACCATCTCATCATTGACAATCGTCGCATCATGAATGAAGCCAAGGACTTTTACCTGGCGTCCAGCCCTCCCGACTCTTTTCTAGATGACCAGCACCTGAGCTCGTCCGGCGGAGCTGTGTCTGGCATCATCAAGCCCCACCCTGAGCGCGTACCCTTCCTGTTGGCGGAGACTCCACCCAGGCCTCGCCACACGCTGGACGAATTGAACCCCCAGAAGTCCAAGCACCAGGGTGTTAGAAGGGCCAAGTGGCACCTAGGTATCCGGAGTCAGAGTAGACCCAATGATATCATGTCAGAAGTGTGCCGTGCCATGAAACAGCTGGATTATGAGTGGAAGGTAAGGAAGAAACTCCATGAGGGGGGCAAAGAGGAGGAAATAGGCCTAAGATGGAGTACATTTAAACAGGTTACATTATACAGACACTGTTTCTTCACCCTTCATAACTCTTCCAGGTTGTGAATCCTTATTATCTGCGTGTGAGAAGGAAGAATCCTATTACTGGGATGCAAACCAAGATGAGCCTTCAACTCTACCAGGTGGACAGTAGAACCTACCTCCTCGACTTCCGTAGCATAGACGGTAAGGTTTAATTCAACTGTTCTGTATCAATTACATTGACTAAGATGTGAGTGAAAAACGGAGAAACAAAGAAACTGATAGTTGTGTTGCTCTCTAAAGTTGTGTTTTAAACAAGTCTCATATCACTTATTTACAGTTGTTGATGATGATCTGCTACGCTCTGAATGCAGCTTCCTGTATATTGGTCGTGTTTCCCTGGGTTCTGTCCTGTAGTTTACTGCCTCAGTGAAGATTTCGTAAATGATTGACTCAGGGTTGAGGGCTTTGGCTTTTTGTCTGTGTAGGTGCGCGGCGGTACCTCAAAGGCAAATATGAGATAAGAGTGTTGTGAGCGGAATTAACGCAGCAAAGGCATGCTGTGCAAAGGGCACAAGACTACATTTCGACTGCTGCCACAGCCGAGTCAGCCACAGCATTAGCTGCAGTTGTCACAGATGGTTTTAAGGAATGGAAGGCTGCATTTTTAAAATAACTTTCAGGGGCTTTTTTTGAGGGAATTCAATGTCTTCTACAACTTTTCAAGAACTGCATATACCCTTTTTATAGACCTTCATATGGAAATATAATGAAATTAAAGGGTTTTTGTATTATGTAGAAAACCTTTTGTCTTGTTTTCTTTAGACGATATGTTGGAGACGAAATCTGGAACTGCTACCCCTCTCCGATCCGGGTCCGTGGGCAACTACCGCACCACTATTAAGAACGATGTCGACGGGGCAGATGCTCCAGCCACGTCTAGCACTGTGCTCCCCACCAAGGCCGCAGAAGGCTCCTTAGCGTCATCGTTGACCTCGTCCATCGAATCAACGGGAGGGGCGGACACCGCGACCGTCCCTCGACCGGGAAGCCACACCATCGAGTTCTTTGAGATGTGTGCGAATCTTATTAAATTACTTGCACGATAGCTTGCAAAACAATCGCTAGCCTTTTTTCCTCTCCGAGTGTCTTTATAGCAATAAGCATGCAAACTGATTCATGGCTCAATTCATCCCAGCTGAGGATGAGCTGATTGTTCCATGGCACTGACGCAGGTTAGTGTTCCCTAAGTGGACAGGATGTGTACTGAGCTGACAGGAACTGTAAAGGGTTATTTGGAAAGATGAAAGATGGGCTACCTAATAGCAAGGACAGAACAACATTTAGAAAGGGGGTTTTACAACTCCCTGATCAATTTAATGGTAAATATCCACATCCCACCTATACATATATACGCAAGTGATTACACTGAATTTTCTGTACTGTAGCCAGTGAGCACTGCTTTCCCAGTACAGAGAACAAGATCAAGTTTTTGCCTGCAGAGAAGGAAGCCACATGTTGAGGGGTTGGGTGTCCGGGTGGCATATAGGGTGCAGGTAGCACTTTTGCACAAGTTTCTTTTATTTCTCGCTGCTCTTGTTTTTGTTTTCTTTCTCTGTGGGGAACAGAGAAGCGGTGCAGATGTATCGGGGCTCTGCACCGGCTATAACAAGGGTCGTCATGTCCATCACAGTCATTGGACTCTGAAGAAGTGCAATGAGCCCTTTATTTCTGTCTTGTGTCGGGGACAAAAGAATGCTTCATCACATTTATGTTAGCTTTTCTTTCTTTTTTTGTAAATTTGAGTTGTCGGCGACTAAATTTTCATGATTTGTGTCCTTGTTGTAAAAAAAAGTTTGAATTTGTCTGTCCCCTACATTTTTATATATAAAGACATGAATATATTTATCAGTGGATGGAGTGTTGGTTCTATTGGAAATGGAATTTTGGGTTGCTTTTTGTTTGTTGCATCAAGATCTATTGCTGGATGGTATATATTTTCCTTTTTTACCGACTGGTTTTTAAATCAATATCACAGCTTTGTTTCCTTCAATCACAATTATTCTGATACTTGATTGTCTCTCCAGATAAATATAGCCTGCTTTTACCATTTAAGAGGTATTTTGCCATGACAGTCAAAATCTAGAAATATATCATTTTCAGTGTCTCATATTAAAATGACACGGTGGTTTTGACTTTTTGTTGTATTTTCTCTTTCTTTTTTAATTTTAGATTAATAATTAGGATTGGAGTACGATCACTGAATGAAATGCCTTTTGTCTACATCCAATTTGTAAATGCCAACCCATCAAAAGTGCAAAGGCCTCGGGGCTCAAATTGAGTAGTAGCAGTTACATGCAGTGCATGGACGATGTCTGTTGGCAGGTGAATCCATCCAGAATATTATCATTTGGGGTTTTTTTATTTTGCCCACACATTCCCTTTTACATACTTAACCCTGAAACAAACCTGTCATGCTGGATAGATTGCAGTTCTTGTAGAAGGAAAAAAAATCACGCAAACATTAAGATCTTAAACGGTGTTGGGGATTTATATTTGATAAAGAAAAATATCGGACAAAATATACTTGCAAGCTCACAGTCTTGGATATATACGTCTTTAATCACAAGTGTGATGCATCTCCCTCCATTTCCTGTCCACAGTCTTAAAGGTTTAAGCGGTGTCTGTTTGGCTGCCTTATCATTATCAATACTGTTATGTAAAAGGAGGAATCCAGTGCCGATCAAAATTATTGGCACTTTTTTGGGAATTTCAAGTGTTTGAAGTCCACGCATTATTTTGTCAGTGTTGTTAATTCACAACTACTGTTAACAATTCACAGATTACTTTTGCATTACCCAAAAAATTTTGCAAAACAAAGAAAATTCTTAAATGCAAAACGTAAAATAAACCTCTGTAACTGCTAACACGTTTTAATTAATAGAGGGAAAACAAAGCGAACTTGAACTGGTTTCTCATCAATCATCATTTTTGTCTTAAGTCAATTGAACCGGGGTTTAGTGAACTTTGCGTCGTAATATCAGTCTCTTAAAAAAAAGTTTGACTTTATTTGTGTTAAGAGGTGTTAGCAGTTGCTCAAGGCTGTTTCTTGAGTTTAGCTCTACGGCTTTAAAAATCTAAAATCTGAAAATGATGATGGAACAAAAATTGCCAAGAGTGACAATACTTGTTTCTCTTGCTGGTTTGGACTGAAATAATTAGTTAATATTTCACCTTTTTATGTCTGTTTTAAACTAGACTTTATGAAATAAACTGATCATGGTGAAGAAACAAACTATGGTCTTGGGATGATATTGTAAAACTAAACAATTTTAGTTTTATAGGGCAGTTGAGGTTTTGATTATTAAAACTTCTCAAGGGATTTGTAGGAAAGATGAATGTGTGAAACCGTGACCTTTTTGACAGTTTATGGAGTCGTGTCCTGACGATAAGTTCTGCCAGTCTATGTGTTCGGACTGCTTCAAATAAATAGTGTTCTATTTTTGTTTGTTGTGTAAAGGGACCCTACCAGATTGGCAAGTGTAAATCTGAATGGACAGTGTTGAAATCATTTGTATACACAACTGCCTAATAAACCGCTAAATTTCACACAATTTTGCTGAAGTTTCTCTGCATGTTTTTAGCCTTTGGACCATCCACCATCACAGCCATGCAATCAACAGTACTAAGGAAGCTGAATGTTACACTCACTGCAAACAAGGAATGTCCTCCAACAAGGAGGCGTATAAACTCATAAGGAAGTAAAAGTTATCTCATTGTTATTCTGGAATCACCCTAACTGATTTAGCTATTCAGGTGATTCTGTGTAATAATATAAGTGATGGAAGGTAATCCTCATTTTAGATGAAATTTACATTTATTAAAAATGAATCATCTGAGTCATCTCTGTGGTGCCATCTAGTGGGCAAAATGGAGACTCCGTCCCACACATTGCATTTAAGTAACATTTTACTGTAAAATGTACCAACATACTTTAATAATGTGTTATATGTCTCTGTCCTTAACATACACATCTGCATTATCATCTTTACAAAAAAAAAATATGGTTCGTGTTTCTTTAAGAGACGACGTAAACATTCACACAACTTCCGGATCAACCAATATGGCTTACCGCTGTTAGCAACTTAGGTAAAGTTAGAAAGATATTGACATCGTTAACGATTTATTGAACCGGGAAGTCCGAATCTGTCAATATCTTTCTAACTTTACCTAACCCTTATAAACGCACTGTTACAACTCCTTCATAGTGTCATATTGCTTTTCGGAGAATTATGATGATAAGTTCATAGTAGATGCAAACGTATACTTATGTACAATATATTATGTTGAACATTGTTGCTCCTGGATGGATCACAGCCAACCCAATTATTGTCAACACAACTCCTTGTCCTTGGTGATGGTGGCCACAGCACTTAAAAGAATAAACTTCATAATTCTCAAAATTCTGACGCTTTGCTTTTTTATTAACAGCATTTACTTGTACTTTTACTTTCAATACTTAAGTACATTTAATATCAGAAAATTACTTTTGATACTTAAGTACAATAAATATCAGATACTTTAAGACTTTTACTCAAGTAATATTATAATAGGTGACTTTTTACTTTTACTGGAGTAGTTTTCCAGTAAGGTATCTTTACTTTTACTCAAGTATGGCTTTTGAGTACTTTATACACCACTGGCTGTTAGCTTGTCCTGTTTTGCCCACGGAGGTTCGTGTTTCTTTAAGAGACGACGTAAACATTCACACAACTTCCGGGTTAACCAATATGGCTAACCGCCGTTAGCTTGTCCAGTTTTGCCCACGGAAAGCTGTAGAAGTCTGCAAGTGCAAATGTAATATGTTATGTTGAAATCAACTGAAGTGCAGTCTTGTGTGAGCAAACCTACGGAGGTGTCAAGTTTAGGCTAAGTGTTAGCTAGGTCATTAACGTTAGAGCTAACGTTAGCTAGCGTTGTTGTGAGAGAGTTGTTTTTGTTTATTAGTTAACTCGTCTTGCTGTTGTGGCTAGTTAGTTGTTGGTTAACTAGTTAGTTATATGCCCTGTGTTTAAACAGCAGATATACCTAACTGTAGCAGCAGGATTGTCGGTTAACGTTAAGTTAGATATGCATCTGGCAGTAACATCACGTTAAACTTTTGCAGGTTTGTGATATTTCAAAATAAAAGTCAATTTCCGTAGATTTTCACGTGCTGATTTCAGATGTGATTTCAAGTCATATACTCGGTAACCGCCACCACCACCAACCACCCCTTCCCCCCTAACAGAATGGCTTCATTTGGCTGGAAGAGGAAAGTTGGTGAGAAGGTTTCAAAGTCAGCCGTGCAGCAGTTTGAGGCTGAGGCGGAGAAGACTGAGGATGCTGGGCCAGGTCCGGGTGACGAGGTGGACTGGCTGCACGCCATCAAACGGCGGCGAGAGATCCTGCTGGAGGACTGTGCAGCCAAGAGCCAGAGGCTGAAGGATGAAGGTGCAGTGCTGGCTGAGCACGGCAGGTGAGGGATGCTGTATAGAGCTGGCAAAAGTCAGGATTAGAATTTAAATCTTATTTCAGTCCATGAAACTGAGGATTTCCTGTCTGTGTGCTGCTGGATTCTTTAAGTGAACATCTGGATTTGTTAGCAGATGTTTAATACACTTAAACCAACTCTCCATCCAGAGGAAGTTATCACCATAGTCAGTGAACCATCCAGAGGAGGGAGAGTAGAGAGAGATGAGGATTACAACACTTCCAGCTTTAACTATGTGATTTAGTTGATAATGAGACAAACTTTCTGTTTCTACAAACAGCCCAAAGGAGCTCAACTTTGCATCAACTGGGAGATGTCATATGTGAAAGCCTCCAATGGAGGGCACCATGGTACAGAGCACTGAGAGCCATCTAACGCAGCTAAAAGCTTTCTACCGACTTCTACTACAGTTACATTATTTAAATAGTGTAATTCAAAACCGCAGCCAAGAGCCATCTGAACTTCAGGTTTCCCTGGTTTTCATTTAATGGCTTTTTGTGAAATTAGTAGGTGTGTGTTGGTGTCAAGTGTATGTTCTTGTATATATTTGGATTTCAAAAGCCAAAGAGCTGTATTCCTCTCAGGACGAGATTGTAAATGAATACAACAACAATTTATATTTTGGCCATGGGAGAAGCTGGTGTTCAGGCCTTTCAACACATATTTAAGAGTGGAAGGGAAAAGCAAAAACATGGAGCAATTTAAGGAAAGCTTTCAAACAGGAAGTGATTTATTTTTATGTTTAAATTGCTCCTACAATCTACTCTAGCACCCCCTGAATTATGCTCCTGTGGAAAGTAAATGCTATGGTAAAGAATGGTAATGATTATTATAAGTGATATTTCCCCCGTTGATGGATTTAAAAAAATATTTTCAGCACTGCGTTTATTGTGTGACTCAAAACGTAAATAAAATCACTCGGCTGCTTTTCTTTTTTTTTTATAGACACTGCTAGATGACAAAATAGGCCTTTTTAAGGAAGCGTTATCTGATATTTCTTCCATGATGATTGACCTTTTTAGCCGTATAACAATCATTTTATGAAACCCTCCTCAGTCCAGGAGATGTAGAGTTGTTGGCCTTAGTCACAGCCAGTAATTGTGTTTGTGAGGGGAAAGTGGATTTTGTTGAGGGGAAATGATGTCATGCTCCGTAATGGCTGTTCAGAGGTTTGAGATGCTGTCTGGTCGGGGATGTCAGCCAGGAGGTTTTTTTTTCTTCTCTAACAACATTGACTAACAACATTGACGTCTGATGTAAGTCGTTTATTACGTAGGTCTACATGCTCCGGATGTAATTAAAGAGTTCCTCTAGTACCTAGTTTGTGATGGAAGTTTTGTGCGACTTGTGGCTGTTTTCTTTATTTTTAAGACCAAACAGATATTGTGTTGTATAAATGTACTCGTGTCACGATAAGCTAAGTGTACATTTTTCAAACGTATACGTGAGATATCCTCTTGAACAGTACACACGGATATTGTAAAGTCTCTACAGACGCAGTAATCTTCACAGCACAGCAAACCGTTTTCTGTCAGATCAGCTGTTGCTGACATGCAGAGGAGACTCTTGATAAGGATGACAGTCATTGCTGCTCATGCATGAACAGACTGGTCGACACTAAAGAAAGGAAAATAAGAGATAGCCAGTGTCTGACTGATAAACCAACAATCAAAAAGAACATTCTATGATGCGTATTGCATATTCATTTGTAAATGTGGCTCAACGGGCGTTCGCTTGAGACTGTTGTCATTTCAAATAGGTACAAAAGATGATTGACAGTTCTCTCCTTCACTCAGACATCAGCTTTAACACTGAAAAAACAGGGCAGTTGTTTCGAAAACATCATCAAATTTCAGAAAAGCACTAAGGGGGAAACAAAAATCCCATGTAGTTCCAGAAGTGTGCCTCCATTTATTTGTTTAACAGCTTGTTTGAACAGTTGTTCAGGACGGTCCTGGGTTTTGTGAGGCAGCATGTGTCATCATCCAAATACTGCACGTAGTTTGCTGATTTGTCCGGCTTCCAGCTGCCATGCTGAGGACATTTTTCTGGCTAGAACTGCATTTGCGAGGTGTGACCTGACTCTCGGAGGCCATTTCAAATGATCACCATCCTCTGAAGGTCTTCTTTTTGTCCCCGAGATTAGTTCACTGGTTCAGTAATGTTTCAGGCACGCGTTGGGGCATGGTTCCTTCTTTTGGACAGCCGTGTGTAAAATGATCATAATCCCCCGACCCTCTACACTCTTTTCAGAACAATAACATGCTGCAAATAGCTCGTGAGTTACACATTTTTTCACTCTTTCTTTAAACGACACACGAGTGTGCACTTCCATCATTCCAATAAATGCAAGTTGACTCATGTACAGAGTTGTAATGACTGTAGAGGAGTCGTTTTTAGTTCATGGGGTGTAATAACTTGCTCATTGCTTAATTTCCTCACATGATTTTGTCTTTTGCCTCATGTGCCGTCAAGATTTCCACACTGCTCTAGTTCCATTTCCTCACTCCTCTCTTGCTGTTGAACAGCAGTAGTATGTGTTTTCTCAGGCTTGATCCTGGTTCTGGCTGTAATCCGAGTTTTATAACTGATCAGTGTTAATGGTCTTGCGTGGCTTTAATTGCTTTTGAATTTTTTCAGGACATCCTTCTTCATAAAGATATAAAAGATCTACACACAACAGACATATGGTGTTGTCAAACCCAGGATTTCACCTCATAATCTCTCCGAGCCTTTGTCTTGATCGTTCTATTGAAATGATTCCTGAGTCAATATTGACTTGAGGAGGAGAGGGATGTCGGAGTGAGCATGATCATGTCCATCAGGGCTCAACAGTGAGGATTGCCACATCGAGCTGGTAAATCTAGCCCGCTGGGCCCGCTCACTTCCTTTCCGAGCATTCGCGAGAAAATGGCGACGGGTAAAGGCAACGTTCATGAGCTGAAGCGCAAGCGAGCATTTCAATTATCCTGGAAACAAGAGTTTAGTTGGGAGGCCTTTTCAAGTCGCTTTTCAAAGGCCCGTCAAGTTTCCCAGAAACGTGTCCTTGTTCAAATTCAGTTATTTAAATAAAGGTTATACATGACGATTAACTTTCATCTTTTAGCTGATAACCACAATAAATAAAACAATTTGCATTTTGGAACGTAAAAATTGACTTTGGGGAAGTGAAAAAAAACCGAAAACATTGAACCCGGATTCATGTGTCCATTCAGATTGTAAAAAAATAAAAAAAAAAAGGTTAATTGTCGTAAAAATATATGCAAAACAAAGTGGTGAGGCTGCAGTGTGACTTCTGTTCAAATGTATGCAAATCCTGTTTATGTTTCTCCTTGCATGTCTGAGAAGGAGCCAATAGCAGGGTCTCGTTGGCTCAGATGAGAAACTGACTACCTGACGGGCTTCCCTGTAGACCCGTGTGTGTGTTTGCTTAGCCTGCTGTAGCCCTTTATACTCTACAGGTAGACAGGTGTTGCAGTATACGCTTGCAGCTGTACAGCGTCAAGAACTCGTCATTAAAAATAAGGAAGAACTAAAATGCACAAAACTCAAGTTGATGGCAAACTGAAATATGACTCGGCTACGCTTCATAAAAGTTTATTTATCTCCGCTTTTGAGAAGTCCTATGCAAGAATGGACAGACCGGATCGGGGAGGGTTTGGGTTCTCTATTATATGCAACAGCAAAAAAATGACGATGGAGAAGGGCTTTAATGATATACACCAAACAAACGTGTGGCAGAGTGTTCGGTTACGTAACGTATATCAAATCTCAGGGCGGAGGCAGGAGAACTCGGCGTCCAATTTCATTGCTTTATGTGATTGTCTATTGGAGTCGGTCACGCTTCAGCGCCGCATTATCCCAAGACTCCAACACAAAGCCGTGTTCAACTCGATGGAGAGCAAGATATCTGCGTGGGGCGTCGATAGCTTTGGTAACTTTAGATCACAGCCAACAAACATGCTCTATAAATAACTCACATGCTTATCTATTAAGTTATGTATCACACTGCCATTTAAAGTGCACCAGTAGCAACCAGGTCACGAATTATGATGCAATAAACAAACACCGTTTGCGTGATTAATCTCTTAGTTCTATAATGTGTGTGTTTTCTCTAGGCACTGGGAGGCCATTAAGAAGCTGGACGAGGCCATCCAGCTGACTCCAGACAACCCACTACTGTATGAGATGAAGTCTCAGGTATACTATACATTGTTATATTTATATACTTCATGCTTTATTTCATTTTGTCTTAAAAGAGTAAACTACCGATTCAGCATTGTATCCTATAAAATGACTGGTGGACAGTTTAAATGCTTTAAGCAGCCAGTCTTTAGGTAACGTGGCTAGAATGGCCTTTTGACCACGAGGCTGCTCCGCTGTTTCCCGGCAGTGCTCGTGTGTCTGAGATGTGATGCAGCCCAACAGCTGTCCTCAGGGTTTGGGGGTGTAGTTTTACATCTGGGTAGAGGACGATGTAGATTATCTGACAGTGGTTTTGTGTTCAGGGTGTACCAAAGAAGTCACAGCGCACTAAATCAGTCACTTACAGCAACGTTCAAGATAACTGAACACGTCCTCTGTTCATGCCCTTTCGTTTGGGAATGTTACTGAGTGACCACCAACATGCTGTGTATGCACTACTACACATGCCTGCTTGTTTGGAATGCGTTTTCGGCTAGATACATGGTATCAGCGCGGTGCTGACAGAACTAAAAGTCTACTGCATGTTTCCAACAGCTTCAATGTTTTTGGCTTTTTAGCTCCACTTCCTTGTTCCTTTCTGTCATTTCACTTCCTCTTCTTCTGCCGTTGTTCCTCAGCTGCTTTTCCTTTTTCTTCTAACATCGGCATCTGTAAATGGTTCCCATATATTTGGGAGAAGTGGAGAAGCCAGAGGAGGTGGACAGTCAAATTCAATTCTTTCTCATCCATTTACTACAACAATCACAATTAAATACCTCCTCATAGCCCCGACCATTGTTTGCCTAATATAATATTATCCATTATAGGTTATTGGAGAAGGAAACCATTAGAGGACCAGGACTTGAAAACCACCGCAAATGGGATTTTCTTTTCCTCCATTGCTATGACTGACTTGAAACATGACATGAGTGCGGACATTTTTTTGCTGAGCTTCAGCTCCAATGTATTTTGACTACACATGGAAAAGCACATCCAACCTATTATTGTCCATTATCAGGCTATAAATAGACTGGACCTCATCATGCTCCCATTACTGATCCACATGACGAAGATGCTTTCACTGATGCTGGTCCTTTACTGCCCTTCATCACTTTCTCCCAATTTAACTCAGTCAGTATTGTGCCTAATACGCCACCTGTCACTCTGAACGTCTGTTACTGCGGTGCGCTCTGGAGGAAATTGGCTCCATTTGTAAAACTGTCATCACATCCTCTTGGGTGTATTCAAGCTCAGCTCATTAGAACGTGTTGTGGATTGTGCGGTAAAGTCATGAGGTTAATTGCTCTTTTCCAATTAACACTAATTGCTATGTTCCATTATGATATGTATGTTTGAAAGCATCCTTCAGTATGAACCAAAAGCTCTACGCCCCGTGCACGTTAATATGTTTTACAGCTCTCATATTGTTATGCAAATAGGGCATTATTGGTTTAAGCTTATTGACAGCTTGTCTTGTACATGATGACAAAGCAAAATTGTGACTGCAAGCATCCATCAACTCAGTGTCTGAATAAAAGATGATTCCAAAGACTCTGCTGATCCTGGTATGCAATGATATAAAACACATGAAAGCATTACAGGCGCTGGAGGCAGAAAATGATTCGCATATTTGCTTTAAAAACTATTTCAACTCTTTGTGTTAATATTGTGAATCACACACGTGTGTTGTCCTCTTGCGGAGGTAGCGCCTAAAGAGTCTTTAATCATTTTGTGGTTTCTCCACAGGTACTGACCATTTTACAGGAAGTGTTTCCTGCGGTGAAGGCGGCAGAGATGGCGGTGAAGTTCCGCCCCCTTTGGTGGGAGGGCTGGCAGACTCTGGGCCGTGCCCAGCTCAACCTGGGAGAGGTGGACCTGGTGAGTTTGGCTGGCAGTACACTCCGAATGGAAACAAAATAGAATGCGCTGTGCTCGCAAAAAAGCTGTCCGACGGCAATCGGATTCAGGGCTGTCGACAAATGCGAGCACTAGGTGGAGGAATGTGTGACTCGCAGCGAGAGGAGACGTGCAAACAAAAACTCGTAGCATTGATAATTGCAGCTGGTACCAACATTCACTCAGTAGTGAGGCATGGCCTCCTGCTCACTCGCTCACTAATGATCTTCATTGGAAGGGCCCCATTTATTTTGTGAATGTTTGATTTTGCAATAAACTACGCCTCTTTCTGTAGCCGGCTATAAATCAGTTGTGTCTTCGCTTTTGAACGGCTGTCAAGGTACGTCAGTTACTTCTGTTTACTTCTTTCTGCAAACTCCTCCTGAGATGTTCCTCCTGAGATGTTCCTCTTTCAAAGCACACCCAGTCGCCCCGGGGGTTTGGACGATTGCTCAAATTGCCGCAGAACACGCCGGGACCTGTGGGGTGCATGGAACCCACGGATCTCAGTTACACCGTCCGCCCATTCAGAGCCAAGCAAACAAGGCTGTACTCCGAAAGCCTTCGCTTAATGCCACCGCATGTCACTCCTAGAGCGAGAGACCTGTCTTACGGCATCAAAAACAACAATGGGAAGTGTTGAAAGTTACCTGCGATAGAACTAAACCAAATATAGACACACCTCGTTGTATGATGATGTTATTGGAAAGGAACAGTCGGGGAGAAAACGCACATCTATTTTTAGCAAGGCCTGTTCAGTCAAGTTTCAGAGCTTTGTGTGCATCAACATGTTTGAGTGGTGCCTGTTTGTGCAAATGTGAGGGCAGCGATTCCCCATAAGTCTGTTCTTTCCCTTCTTTGACTTCCACTCCTGGAAAGTACCCAAATAAAACAAACATATCTTCTGATTTCATTTTTTTCAAACCCTTCTCTTAATGTCTTTTAAAACATGACATTGACAGCATGAAGGCTCCATCGCCATTCATCTCCTCGTTATTATGATTAAAAAGCCGGTTAATCTGCCGACTGTGGCATTTTGTCTGTTGAAGCATTTCTTTGAAAACAAGGTTGTGATGAGACTTTAGTCTGTTCAAGATTGAACTTGTTTTGGGAACATCTATTACAGTTAACCTGTCAAGGTGGGGAACATTTCACATACCGGTTTATTTTTCTGTTTCGTTCCAAAATGATTTGTTGTAGATCCTTTTGCTTGTTTAGGCCAGTTGGGAAGTTTGTTTGTCTGGTCGTTAAATTACTTCCTCGGCCTGACTTGTATCTCAGGTTAAATTGGATTTTCGTAAGAGGTGTTACTCACTGTGTCACAGGGAACAGGTGCAACTGAAAAGCTGAGCTCAGTCAATAATTAATGTTAATTCAGTGTGTATCTTGATGACAGGCCAAAAAAAGAAACTTGGCTGTTGTCCTTGAGTGTTTTGTACCGTAGTTTTAACAACTCCCAACAGATTGACGTGTCTTCTCTGGTAGAAATCTGATCGCGTCAGGTCAGTTTCAGGACTTCTTCTTAATCTTTTCTTCATATTTAGTTTGAGAACTGCCTCAAAAAGACCTCACGAAGCTGTTACAGAGCCTCAGAAGATTAACTCTTTAAGTGGATTCAAGTTCACCCAAATGTCGTTTATTTAATGGGCTTCATTACCATATTACATAACCAGACATCTGTCAGAATAGATTCATGATATACCTCAGATAGCATGCATGGATGGATTTACTTCACCGTTTCACAGGCAGCAAATAGTCCCAGCTAAAGCTTGACATCAGGTCCCACGGACGACAGCGGCCGTTTTTTATTTCTGTTCAGTGAGAACATCGATCTACAACTGCACAGTCAGCTGAGAGCTATTGGTGTCTTCTTAATGAAACCATAAATCGACCTGCAGCACAAAGAATGTTCGAGTCTTGCTGGTCGACGGGCCCATGATGTACCCAACCTGCTCATTCAGCAGGTATGCCAACGGCATACCATTCATCTGTGAGAGTGACGGTGAACCCACGAAAAGGCCGAAAAGAATTCGGGCTGAACTTGTCAGTTTGTTGGAGACTATAAACATGCCTTCACCCATCTTTCATGACCACCCGTAAAAGCTTGTGTTTGAACTCTAAGCTCATGCCGAATTTGTCCCCCGTATAGGCTGTGAGGTCCTTCCAGGTTGCGATCCACCTGTGCCCATCAGAGCGCACCCTGTGGCAGGAGGACCTGGAGTGGGCATGGAGGCTACAGAAGCAGCACTTAGCAACCAAGGAGAAGACTCGGCAAGAGGAGGAGGCCAAAGAACAGATCCTTCATGCCCCGGAGCTCGAGCGGGACTACGACTTTGAGTCTGATGAGGTGCTCGCCGCCTGTGTGGCGGTCGCAGAGCGACAGACGCGCTACGAGGAGCTGAAGAGGACCGCCGTGGTCATAGACGCTGAGGGGAATATAAAAAATGTACTCGCTGGGGAAGAGGGATCAGAGGATGCAGCGACGCCATTACAAGAACAGTTTGTCAAAGTAAGAGGACTTTGAAATGGTTTCAGAATGACTTGATTTTCCCGGTTACATTTTTTCCGGACCGAACGGTGTTATTTCTGAAACCACAGTGAGTGTGTGAACCTGTAGCATAAAGTAACCTCTTCAGAAGCAAACATGAGAACTGACTAATTCTGCTGAAGGTTTAAATGTGTCACAATAAAAGACAGTTGAGTTGTGTTGGTTTACATTTTCCATCCCTTTCATTTTAATTGTGTAAAATGTGCATGTAAAGTTTTTACATGTTTTGAAGCGCTAAACTTGAGCATCTTCTAGTTCTGTGTTTCACCTCTTAGCGCAAAAACACGTTTAGGATTATGTATACAATCAAAGGTTTGTGCTCGGCCGTTTGCTTCTATAGCACATAAGATTGATTCGTCTTTCAGAATCATTTATCCTCCAAGATTATTAAGGCACATGATTGTGATGAATAAACAGAATAAAATAGTTCCCGGTCTTTAAATCCAGATCATGGATTCATCCACTCTGATTAGTTGACCTGTGAGGTTTCAATGTGCGTCTTTGTGAAACATGAGCGTGCATGCTCAGCAAATTGTCAATGAGTGAATAAACATGAATCAAAATATGTGATAGTTCCCTGTGTTTGTTTTCTCATTGGATGTCTTCTACTTTTATGTTACCTGGAGATGAGTTGCAAGATTTTTACCGACTTGTTCCAAAGTTGAGCTAAATGATAAGATGATATTGATTAGTGCTTGAAGAAGTAACCAGACTTTGGCTGCGGTCAAATAGTCTTTCCTGCTTGACCTGCATGATAAGAGCTGGTTGAATTTATTTCTTATCTCACAATGCTGTCCCACAATGTCTTTCTTACTTACAAAACAAAGGGTTTCATTTTTATACAAGACAAAGAGAACGCATCTCTACAAATCAATCTGAATTAAATACAAAGAGAAAATGATGACATCGGTAGACACACCCTCATCTGTAACACACCTAAATTATAGCTGGTGCAGATGTTGTTTTACAAAGTTGCACAATAAGATAGATTGAGATCACTTGTGTGCAATCAGGGTGTGCCAAGTGAGTTTATGCTAAATACACATGTATCTGGACATAGTCCAGCTGCTGCGCACTTGAGTTGTCATGAAGGTTGTTTTCGCAACCTTGTGCTCTGCACAGGTCCGCCCTACATCAACACTTGCGACATATAACAGCCGCACGACCACACACCGAATCACAGACTGTAAATGCCACGCGTAAAAAGTCAGGGAGGCACAGACTGTGTCAGCCCTTTGTGGAGAAAAAAATATGTTACACTCTCTACACAAGATTGGGACCAGGTTGCATCATAATGATCCCCATGCAGACGTTGGACATGTGCGTAAAAGTGCCACATTGGGCAGCGCTTCATCTGCCATCTAGCACATTTAACACTAGCCCAGGATGCCGCTATGCAGATGTCTGCCACTGTCGTCCCTGTGAGGAAAGCCATGGGTGAGGATGAGTATAAATAGCGCATATCATTGGAATGTCTAAGTTTGATCCTTTCTGACAGACGTCTCCACGTAAGAGGCCGCAAGCAATCGCAGGTTGTTCTGCCGGCATCGCAATGCCTCTCAAAATCTGCCGCCATTTTTATGATGCCCTGCAAGTCCTGAAAAAGTGCCTTATAGGAGCGGGCAAATGATCCGGAAAAGGAGAAAGCCCAGACCTAGGCCTCTGCTCGACACCGCAGTTCCTCCGTAGGCAAGTGAGCACAGAACTGGCAATCAGCCTGCGGGGTAGCCACAGTGCCAAGGCAGCTTTCACAGCTGGTATGAAGGCCGATGGGAGGATGTAGCCAATCCGGCTGAAGAGGAAATGGGTGTAGAACCATGGTCACAAGGCTGTTATACAGTATGTCTTCAAGAGTGATATAGAAACAAATACACACACACAGTTCAGTGACCCAGAAAATAGTATGTTACAGAAATTATAACGTATCTATTGAAGGTGCTCAATACAAACTTCAGAGCATATCTAATATATCTGACCTCATTTTAAATCATCATTCACCTCAACCCTAAAATGACCCTGAGCCCAAATGTAATATACAAATACTGTTAACATTTTTGTGTCCATAAAGTCCTGGAATTTCCTTTTTACTCTTAACTCCATTCCTGCTCTAAAATGCTTTTTAAGTGGTATTTTCTAACAGCCAATTGTTTGCACACACACATAATGTGTTGGCTGATGACGTGGAGAATGAGTTGGACATTTTTTCTCATTTCGCCGTCTGTTGAAATCCTATCAATTATTTTGTCAATCACTATTCCTCCTGGAGGACTGACAGCTTGAACTGAGTCCTCAGTCTGCGGTCACAGCTCTCTTTAATGGGATACTGGTCTCAGAGGGAGGTTTCACTGCTCTCGGAGGTGAAGAAACCATCTGTCTGCAGGTGAGCGGTGCTGTTCCATCTCAACTAGCTATTGGATAGAAATGTCTCTCGCCATCGGCGCTGTTTTCTCAGCTGCTAGCATGACACTAACGGTGACGTTCAAACAAAAGAAAATGTTATTAGAGCAGTTATAGACATGCTTGAACAACTAATCAGACATATTGCACGAATACCTCTGTCTGCACTATTACCACATACTTGCACTATCACCTCAATTCCCCATTTAAGAGGATGTAACTAGTGAATTTTTTGTGCATTTTGGATGAAGACAATGAATTAATTACTAAATTAGCAGATTAACTTTCCATCCATAAACTTTCCTTATCAAGGGACGCTTCAGCTCTAAATGTTCCTCTCATAAGTCCCCTCTCCTATTTTACATCACACTCTACATATTCACCATGAATATTTAAGAAATATCATATCAACGTACTTCACTCTCATTCTGAACCATACCAAAAAAAGTGACACAAGTGTATATGAATATTTACCAACTTTTATTTTCTGTGTATTTAAGAGTTCGGTACAACATTCGTCTTTTCACAAGAGATTTAACATTTTTGTGGTAAATTTGACATCAGTTGTTGCTGCAACAACAACTTTAACATTGAAATATGAACATGGTATTTATATCAATCTTTATAGAACTCTATCTAAGAAATCCATTGAAAGAAAAGGTAAAAACCTTTAAACTCATCAGACAGGAAATGTGTGTTTTTCTTTTCTCTTCTTAATTCCCCTATAAAGTCTAATTAGAAGAGAGGAATTACACATTACATTGAAGTAAAATGAGATGAAGTTGGTTTAATCTTTACAAAGTAATGGGCTGGAAAGAGTAAATGAATGATTTTATATTAACACGTTATGTTAGAAGGCCTCTTAACGTCCTCCCGTGTCTGCATAGTGGAAAAGCCATAGCTGCCTTTTGTTATGAAATGCAGGGCATGGTATTATTCTAGCATGAATGGCAGCTCCTCTGTCAACCAATTGGACCAAATTGTTTGCAAATGTGTCTGCTCACCACAAAATAAAACAAAAAACCAGAAGATATTCATCTTGTACCAATTTAAAATGGCTCCAAACTTTCTGAACCTTCTCACAGAGAAGACAATAACAATACAATTGAAACAATACAATTTCATACTTACAATAAATTAACATTATGTACACTTTTCACATTTTATTATTCATTTGTTATAGTCATCTGGCAGGTTGTGAAAACAGCCTCGCAGTGGTTTAACAAAAAGTGCAACAGAAGAGCTCCTCTACAACGTCATGTTGTTCTCCGTGGTTTAGTTGATGTCGTGATTCTACTGAAGTGTATTTAGCGATATGGTTTTTGTGGTAAGTTATGACTGAGGAGTAATACATTATTTAGTTCAATAATACATTTGTCAAATAGCATGCCGCAACATATCTACAGATTGATGGATGATTACTCAGTCTTCAGATGCGTGTCCTTTGTTATCCTGTCTTTGTTCATTCCTACCTGAAGTCCCAGGACATTTCTATTACAGTGACGAATGCTTTTCGAGATCATGCCAACTGTTATATGCATTTCTCCTGCATGTTCGCAGTCTCATCCGTGAAGGTCACATGTAGAGCCGGGTCCTTGCGACACATCAGAAGCTCTTTCAGTGGCTCGCCTGCCGCTCTGTCCCCTAATTCACTGTGTGAAAGCTCCCTTTGAGGCCCCTCGACCTCCTGGGGTCCTGTAACGTCTGTGCGACTGGTGGGCTGGAGCCGCCCTGTGCCCCTGCATGAGATGACCTCGTGGTTCCCTCAGACGGGTACAAGAAGGTCTGTGAGGTGCACACAATTTCCTTCAGCTCTCGTGACACCATCGAGGGAGAGTCTCGTGAGATGATGGAGGAGGAGAAGCGGCCTTCGGCACAGCGGAACTGCCCGCCGTTCCTTCGACCCCGCCCGCCCATTTTGCAGAACAGACACTTTATTTTCTCCATCAGCTTGAGGACCACTGTCTTTCTGAGCAGGATGTAGATCCAAGGGTCTAAGATGGGGTTGACGGAGGCCATGCGGATGGCCAGCAGGTCTTTATTCAACCCGGAAGGCTCTTCTGTCTGGTTTCCGTACAGCTGATTCACAAAGATCCTCAGCTGATAGAAAAGGAGAGAAAACAATAGATGAACTTCGGAACTTATTGTTCGGTTGTCACATAAATGAGCATGGAACAACATTTCAAGTGCAGAATCAATTGTGTTTTTGCAAGTCCAAACCTGTCTCCACTTCATTTAGAAGAGTAACATAATTGTTTATATAACATATTCCTACAAGGTTGGCATGGAACGGTCAAATCTAAATAGACACTTGGCTGAATGTAACTGCTGCGTAACCACAGCAGTGTAGAGATGGCAAGAGGCCAGTAGAAACAGTTCTCATCATCATTCATTCTAAGATGCCTTTGGCCACTGAGCTTCCCCAGGGTCTAATCAGCAGTCATCATTTAACAAAACCAGAGCCTCAAAAGCCTTAATGTTTGACATTTCTAAAAGGACAGGTTCAACTTTTCCAAGTCTAAAACAATGACCTGCACATTTAAGCCGATTTTGCTTGCTGTAATCATTCCTGGTGTTCATACTGGACCTTTAAATTGTCCCTCTCTAACAAGTCCTTGTTCTATGCCAAAAAAAAATCCTGGGTTTATGTTAAGTTACTGTGAGAGACTTTTGTTCTAAAAAGACAGTGTTGGTGGAAACTTCACCAGATTGATTTAACTCAGACTGCAGAAGCCTGATATTAACTTCAGCTGAACTTAATGTATAACACAGAATGAGGACTACTTTTTTTGTCCCCAGAAGTATTCACAGCAAGCAGAAAACTGTTAATTTTGGAACCTGCCGTTGTTTCAACACAGACTGTGAACCTCTCCTTCAACACAGACTTTGACTCCAAAGATGCAAGAATGCTTGTGTCATTCTGCACTGCAGAGCAAACACCTGCGGAAATCTCACGCTCTCCTCTGATCCTTAGCTCTCGCTCAGGCTGAACATTGAAGTCTGTCGATGCGAGCTAAATGAGCGAACTCTCAGAGTGTTCAAATAACATGTGAGAGTTGACTAATCTTTTCTAAACCACATGCTAATGATACATCTTTGTAAATGCTGTTTTGACACAGCAAAAGGAAAGAGTGTGAACGAATTAACTTGTGCCTTAGATTGTGTCATCTAACCACAAATATCTTAAACGGGAACACGAAGTTCTGACAGCAAGTTGAATTAACCATCTCCTTCCTGTTTGTTGTTATCGTGTATTAATCCATTAGGTTAAAACTCTGTTGGTGTTTCACACAATCTTTATTTTAATTTACATTTGGATTAATTTACATTCCTTTACTTTCTGGCTGATATATGTATTGGACTGTATTTCCTTTTTTTGTTAAACGTCTGTGACATTCTTGCGCGTAAAAACCTATTGCGCACACAGAGGGTGCAAAATGTGTCTGGTTCAATTGTACAGATACTCACCACTAACGGTATGGAGCATATGAGAACCACAGCGGAGGTAGCTATGAGTAGGATCACCATCTGGATCTCCGCTCCAGCTAATCGTCTGAAACTCCGTCTGCGCCTGAGCTCCGCGATGCGCCTCTGGTCCGTGCCCAAAGACGTGCGGCGGATGAACCGCTTGTGCATCAGGATCAGAGCCCCGCACACCATCACGTTGCATATGACAGTGGCCAGCACGATGACTGAATTCACACCCGCGTACATCAAATTAAAAGCAGCGACTGTTGTGTTGTTGTTCTGCCAGTCGATGAAACACCAGGTCTCTGGTTTCTGAAGCGTCACCTTCCCGAACCCCAAACTGGGCAGCGCGCAAAACACGATGTTGGAAATGTAAATGGCCAAAAGAGTGAGCGCTGCGAGTTTTTGGTTGACGTACTCGTTGTAGAAATATGCATGGTTTATTGCCAAGTATCTCTCCACTGACATTGCCAACACAATGCTGAGCTGGACCAAGAAGAAGAAGAGCAGGATGAAGCCGGAGTACTGGCACAGCGGATCACCTCCCGGCCATTCGCCCCTCATGTAGGTCGCGATGGTGACAGGACTGGCCAGCAGCGTGCCCAGGAGGTCTGTCACTGCCAGGCCACACACGAGTGTATAAAAAGTCGTTTCCTTTTGTTCCTTTCTTGATATCCGCAGAACCACTATAGCGATGACATTCCCCACCACCCCGAAAATGAACATAATCGACGGGATGGTGGGCGGTAGAAATCTCATCTCCACTGTCATGTTCATACCTGCAGGGACTTCTTTTATTGTTTCACAATGAGAAACAGTTCTCCTCTAACATCCAAAGTAGTAACGTTTTCCATGAATGCGCATTCTCCAGGATCTCCAACAAGAAGCAAATCCATCGTTTCCCAATATCCCTTTTACGCACAGCATTAAAACTCAACAATCCGTCATGAAAATACGAGCAATCCACAGCATGAAGATGTTTACTCTTGCGGTTTTGGTTTGCAAGCGATGCTGCAGGACTGCGAGCTGCGCTTCACGCTGTTGTCTCTCTGACAATTGACAGGGAGGTTTCCTCCTGGGCCACTGAAGGCAGCTCCTCCTCTGCGTTTCATTTAACCAGTGAGCTGTTTGAAAAAGAGCGCGCCATGCAGCGGGAGAACAGATGTGTTCGGGGATATACAGTAGTTTCACTTCTTCACTATCACTGAATTCAACGCAACTGTTGTCAACTCTCAGATGACAGCAAAGTCAACAAGATCAATGCATTTATTGAGAAGTCTGAATAATGTATGAAAGAAAAGTCAGTCAGAGGTGGAAACTATCTAAAGCTACATTTACTTACTTGTACCTTATATTTGCATTTGATGCTACTTTATAGTGAAATTTCAATCACATGTCAAAAATAGTCTGAAACTAACATGTTAGTGCAGCGAAGCTCACTTGTTGAAAAAAAATGTTGTTTTTGCAAAATAAGTGACCTTCTGTGAATTAATTTTGTCCCTCACACTCACAAAGTTCATCAACATGTAAAAACACGCACATGCGTCATCTAAATGTACTTTTTCACTTGTGGTCACGGCCCCTCTTAACCACTCTTTCCTGCTTCTAAACACTCCACTGAATCAGCTCGAGACAAACAAAGTTCTCAATGAATTTGAAGTCAAATCTATCAAAAAGGAAATAAAGTATTTAATTTCAAGTTGCATATACAAACACAACTCTGAGATATGAGCATTGGATCATCTTCAGTGTACGTCTGATATTGTTTTGTATGCGATACTTCACTAGAGTCCAGACATTTATTTGTCAGCTTTCTGTTTTACTTGGAGGCAATCGGATCGTGTGCAACAAAAACAGCTGTAGCAGATAAATATCCAAGAGTTTGTATAGGACACTAGTCGGGAAGTTGATATTGTGTTCACTGAATCAAACAAGGAGCAATTAACAAACCAAATTCTGTTATTTGTGGCCATTAAACAAAATGTTTTAGAGCAGGATGTTAGCGTTGGTTTCAGAGTGGTGGAGTGATCTGTGGTGAAAGCTTGTAATGTGTCGCCTACTCAACAGTCACTGAAACCTGAAGAAGCCACTTCCTCTGACCTCAGGGTGCAGTTTGTTTTTTTAATTAAGAGGGGAACAAACAGGTCACCACGGAAAAGTTAAAATTCTCCTCATCAATATGTACATTTTAGCATATTGCTCCAAAATCATATCGTATGGAACTATGGAAATCATTCTGCGACGTCGGACACCGTGTTGAAACATTAAAATCCTTTCACTGCGTGCAGCTCTTCTTTATTTTATTGTTTTTGTCTTGTGGACAAGATCAGATTCTCCTAAGTTCACCATGTGAAGCCTGTGTGTGCAGAAACAGGTGGTGGAGTGCACTCTCTGAGTCAAATTATAGTTGTCATCCACTCAAACTACGTCTCCGCATTGATGTGATTTTCTTATGGGTTTCATAGACCACTTTATTAAAGGGATACGAACCCCGTCTTTGTGTGTTGTGTCTCCATGCTCGTCTTTGATATAAAACCTTCAACAAGCACTTACATCAAAAAATGCATTTGGGGATGTAAACACCAGGTTAATTTTGAACTGCTTTCAAGACTACACAATGCTAATGTTACTAGCAGAAGCACACATGGGAGCATTTGCTACAGTTGTTTACAAAGCTCCATTCAAAATTAAAACATCTTCACCTTTCTTAAGACCTTCCCACCAAACCTCGCCACTCTGATTTGCATTTAGATTCTGGATAATCTAAACACATACTTTACATACTTACATTCAATATTTGCAACAGGCAAGTATATTTCTGTGCATATAAGATAAAACTTCCCCTTTAGCATCTGCTGAACCACTTCAAACATGGAAATACGAATACTGGAATTGAAACATCATGCCAAAGTGATGGGGGATCAAATCAGTCTTTGTTTAGTTTAGAAATAAAGTTTAGCTGAATCTAATGTAAAGCTTCAGCAGGACTTCTGAAAATGCTGATGTTAGAGGTTTTGCATGCAAACAAATACCCATGGAAGACTTAATCATGGCTGTATGCCATACTTATGAGTATTTACACAATCTTTATTATCATGTTCTTCATTATGCACAGGGACGTTTTAAAAATAGTTCCACCTCTGCTTGATAATGGCATTTACTTACCTTTTTAAAATGGGTCAGCCTGTAGTGCTAGGGTTTACACTTGATGTGGCTTTAGAGTGCACTTAAAGGCCATTTGTTGTGATTACCTTGTGTGTAGAGAAGAAATGCTAATTCTACAAGAGGAACTCTGAAACTGAAAACTGTCACAGCTTGGGAAAACAGGTTATATTTTTGAGTTCCCAAAGGAGGTTATATGCACCAACCTACCACTCCTCCCCCCCTCCCACCTCAATCCCCCCTCCCCACCTCAAATCAGGTCCAGTCTGTGGAGAAGGGTCGTGTCACAAGACCTCCGATTTTCTGGTAGTTAAGTATTCCTCAGGGAACTAATGAAAACACTATGAAGAAATGTATTGTCTGCTGAAGTGCACTTGCACCTCAGCGCTGTGAGAGCACACTTCCTGACTAACATTTGTTAACAAGTTTGGGATTAAAGACAAAATCAATGATTATTAATTATTATTAACAGCGTGAATGTGCCAGCGAGTATCATTCTCTTTTTCTCTCCTTCATGCGGCGATCTGTATTTTGTTGTTTATTTTACTTTTGCGGTTTATGTTGCGCTCTTACACCGTGTTGAGTGCCAACAGTCTGAGAGCCTTATTAAATATCCTGTTTGTTCTAATTAAGGGAACAGATCAGTGGCAGGCAAGTCCCGATTTATCCATTCTCCTCTGTCAATTCTTGCGTTCCTCTAATGAAATTCAGCAATATCTGATTCTAAAAAACCGAGACTGCACAATTCTGAGATGGCCAATGAAGACAGAAGGCCATAAATGGTTGTGTCTGTGTTTGCGTGTTTGTTCTAGAGAAAGTCCAGCAAATAAAACATCCTACACAAACTTCCCATGTCATTAGGAAAGAGTCAACCCCCCGGGTTTACTCCCCCAGTTCTGTAAAACAGCAAAGATTAAAGGTGGAAGCTTTCGTATGAGCATTCCTAAACTGATATCACTAGTGGGATCAGTTGTTGTTAAAGAGATTAAAAGAGAATTTCTAAACCCTGAGAGACAAGTAATAGCAAAAAGTGGGAGTTGCGCAGCTGGCTGCAGCCTGCTCGACTGATTATGGGCCTAAAACAATATTTTTTAAGACAATTCATCCATCGTTGCGAGCAGATACATAATTGATTTGTCAGCAACTATAGTGGAGGCTGGTGTATAAGCAGAGAATCTCTGAACCCATCGGCCATCGGTCGGATGCAGATAAGCCTCTGCGGGAGAGGAGCTATATCTCTGGGGCTCCGGGGAAGCCTGTGGATATCCAGGCCAAAAGTTCTGTTTCAAGAAACGGCCAAGACATATTATTTTTAATAGGGTCACAGTGTTTTGAGATGACGTCCAATTCCCATGATTGCTGTCCTTCCTTTACGCACAAATATGTTGGTTTTTTACAATTAACACACAGCAGTCTGATAACATATTAATTTCATGATGCAACTAAAACTGGTTTTGTGTCTAACTACAAGAAACACTTGGAAAAACTGCGCAATTAATGTTTAACCATTTTGAAACGGAAGAACGTCCTGCCGCAGCATTTTTCTTTTGCTAATAATCTACCCAGTTTTGTCTGCCGCAGCATGGACAAGAAGTGTGTGGTTGTGTGTGTGTGTGTGTGTGTGTGTGTGCATGTGTGTGCGTGTGTGTGTGTGTGTGATTCAATAACCATATGAGCTGAGAGCAAGTGTCTCTCATGGCTGTTGTTCAAAATGATCTTTTGAACTATTTTTGCTTCATGTCTTGAGCAAAATAAGGTAATAGGCTGTTAGAAGGTAACAACTTTGAAGGGTTTTAATAATTAGAAGCATAATAGGAGTAATATATATATACTGTATATATATATATAATATATATTTCTCCATAGTAATATGGAGAAATCTGTGTCTGTGTGTGTGTGTGTGTGTGTGTGTGTGTGTGTGTGTGTGTGTTAAAAGACAAGACCCGTCTGTCCTGCAGGAGGCAAGCCGAACTGTCACACAACTGCCCCTTTGCTTGTTATTCTGGAGTGAGAGACTCCTTGCTGACTCCCTGGAAGAAAGGGAAGACGCTGGCATCGTTTTCTGTGTTTCTACTTTTCACCCTCTGCTTGCTTTTCGACATTATTTTTTAATCTGAACCCAGTTTTCCCCTCTCAATCAGTACATTCATAGAGAACCTCAGACACTTATGGCTATAATTATGCTCATCAGCTCGACAATCAGGTGCAGTTTTAACATAAGCTTTAGAGGAACAAGTCTCAACAGTTGCAAACTATTTCCCTCCGGCGGCTTGAAGGAGCAAACATCAAGTACTTCATGTCCCACAGCTTTCACAGTATTTGTGTCCGTGTGAGACAGAGACGGGGAGATGCATTGTATAATTACCAAATTGAGATGCATGCCAAAACCTTTCATGCACTTTTCATCCCATACACAAACACATGAGTTTTACATCTGTACTTCACCTCCGTTGATCCAGAATCCAACAGGCCTCTGCAGACTCCAACTATTCAACAGTTGACCTGGTCTGACCCGGCTGCTTACACTGCTGCAGGGTATCATTCTGCATGGCGGCTGCATGTCTTAGGAGCAGAAAGTGTTTTACTCCTAAAGGACAAAAGCCCCAAAAGATCCATTAGTGTGACTTACTCTGAATCCAATGTTGAACGTGACATTTAAAAAAAAATAAAAACAATTCTCATTGAGTAGGCTATGGTGTGACTGTGATTGATGAATTGAGAAATGTATTAGTAAGTACATTATTTTACTAAACTTAGCAGCAGGAGTATTTACTTACATTATTTGTTACTTTATTACTCTCATGTTTCGTGTAATTCTGTATTTAAATAGAAAATAAGACATTGTGGTGTAGCAAGAGGCCAGCCTCTGGTTAGGAAGTATTTACATCAACAGCTAACGC